TAACAAGTATGATCGTATTTTTGTGGGGCAAGTTTCATACTAGAGCTGTCTGGAGCTGTTCCAGTGCAACTATGTTGTCTATTTTTCAAGTGCAGAGCTACTATTGGTGAAACCATGGTGGGAATAGCTCAACACAGGTGCCAGTCAAGAGGAATCATGTGAGTGATGACAGACCTTGCTTTGGCAAGAGCAAGAGACCCTATATTACGAGTTGTTTTGTGCTCTATTTGCTGTTTTCCATGACGTAATCGACAGATCATGGCCATGGCTTTGCTGTTTTCCTCACAGAACGGATGTTTTCAGAACGTTCTTCAGAATGGCTTCATTGAAGGCACAAAGATATCAGATACCGGGGAGGAGACCTGCAGAGATCAGCTTGGTGTCCACCCAAGACGTGCTGAAAACCATCCGACACAGACCATCCGTTGCCTGAGGGTGGTTGCATGAAGGACCTGAAGCTTCGGAATTATGTAAAACAACATCAAAACAAAACTAGTACAATATATGAAAACCATACTAAAGGGCAACATTCAAGAGGTATTCTGAAGGACGATTTGACATCAGGTATACTTCACACATGACATCACAGTGCTTGACCGCAAGCGCGGCTGCACTCAGGTCATACTTGATATCATTCCCTTTTTGGGCAAGTACATCAGCTCAGGCCGAGCCCGACACTGCTCGGGGTCGACGGCGTACGGGCGAAGAAACGTACACGTCGTACGGTTCGTAAAGGGGAGACGACCAAACAGGGGTGTTTGGGGGATGACCTGGCGCCATTGCGAATCAGGAGATGTGTGATGAACTGGGTGAATCCCCACTGGTGAATCATTTGTAATTTTGTCCAGGTTCCGAAGAAGTATCCCCAGTCGATGAAGGGGTGAGAACTTCACCTTCGAAGGTCGAAGGGCTTCGCGGATCCGGGACGTCGGGTTGACCGGTTGACCGTCACATCGGCCGTGGTCCACCTGGAAGGGTCCAATCGAGGTGTTCATCTTAAAAACACCCCATGTTTGAGTATTGGACGTGTCCAATCCGTTGCCAGTCTATACAAAACACATGTCATATTAGTCAATTAATAAATGTGCAAACCTTGTTTGGTCCGGTGACCAGGTGTTTGACATATTTCCTGTGTTTGAATCCAAACCGTTGCTGGGTTGGTGAAACACACACCGGTCCTAGCTGACCGAAAAAACGTACAGTACAGCGATCCTGCGTTCTTCCAACGTTCACGCACCGTCTCGTTCCCTTGCTCGGTGGACGTCACGGATCCAACGAACGAGTCACCCAGACCTGTCCACCTGGTGGACTCTGTGAGTCTGCCGCAGTCGACGGGACGTCGGCAAAACGAAGCTGCGGACAAGTCTTGCCTTCCCTAGGGATCCAGTTGTACCTTCTCAGGTGACAGGAGACACTGAGACATGTAGGTTTGGAGAGTCCAAGTCCAAGTACCTTCTGAGAAGGTACGACTGGATCCCTACCTTGAAAACCCAACTCTTCCTTTTTTTTGTCATCGGCTGATTTGGAAGCAAAAAACGTACTCTTTCAAGCAAAAGTGTAATCGGGAGTGAAAAGTGCTATCGTGTCTTCCTGGCCCATTTCAGTGGACACAGATCCACTTCAAATTAACCCTTCAACATTGTTCCGCCGATTTCCGCCTTTTGGACGGGTATTTCCGCCCTTGTTTTTTGGTGTTTCTTTTGAGCCCGCTGGGAACCCTTTGGATCCGGTTTCTCATGTAACATGTCTGGAATGTTGTGAAATACCAAAAAGTGTATATTGGGATCTGTCAAGTTGAGAAAGTGTCATTATTTCACAAAACACTGTTGTTTTTTCCAAAATGACTAACACAATGCACACTTATGAGTTACTAGGTAGGGCTTATATGCGGTGCTTCCTTTTGTTGTTTCACCCCCAAAGATCAATGCACATCCACTTCGTGATTGGAAGTATGCCACCCCTCATGACGGCACATGGCTGTGGGTCAAAAGCCAGAGCCCGTTTCATCGTAGGTTGGCCATGTTTGGTAGTCTATTCTGCTCATGTTCGGAAAAACGAGGGTCCACCAGTTTTCATACCACGCGGACCCATCGAAGACTTTGGCTCCAAGTTCCCAGGTACTTCGTGGATTTTAGCTGTGGTGATCTTGCTCATCACCGCGGTGCTTGCGACGATCGCCACGCGGCGGGAGCGATCCAGTGTTGACCAACAACATTTGTTGTACTGCCAATCTGTCTTAGTCATTTGTCATAGTGTCAACCCAAATCCTCTTAAACCATATATAGGAAAGTATACGACGTATTACGAACGTGTAGTAGAACGTGTGTTTGACGATCGTCTGGTCTTGATTGATCTAAGCTTGTCGTGATCTTGTTGTAATCCCCAGTATCAAATCCCGCCTTCTTGTTTGAGGTTCCTGTCATTTGTGCAATCCACAATTGTCCTGCAAACAGAACATGCAAATATAAATGGTTGTTTGCGAACAAATCGAACCACAAATCAAAGACCGAGTAGCTTACTTCTCTGACTGTTCGGGGGGAAAGATCGCAGAGACCTACCCACTCAGTGGATTACCTGCAGAACACTACTACCAGAACTGGTAGAACCTTCGATGAACCTCATGAACCTTCGTGAAGGAGAAACTCAGAGAACCCCAAGCCGCCAAAAGCGGCAGGAGGAAGGCAGGAGTCATTGTTCAACAACCTCGACGAAGACCGGACGTGATCAAAAATTACGAAAGCCAGCCGATAGGCAAGGCTGAGGTTGTTCCTGCGAACGAAATGAATAATGGGGGTGTGGGGAGGAGAGCGGCCAAAAAGTTGCTTAAAATAACAAAAAACACATCATAATAGCTTGGTGGGGTTAGTGTTTCTTTTTGTCACTTAGCGATGCAGATGATGCAAATCAAAAATGTTGCTGCATCATTTGCATCACAAAGTTGTATTATGATGTTACGTCAAAGATCGTCAACAAGGCTTATGTCGAGAAAGAAAGGAGGCTTTGCTTTCATTCTACTTTCATTTGCTTTCGTTATGTTTTTATGCTTGCATACTGCTTTCATTCTGCTTTCACGCGCTGACAGCTAGAGCCAAGGGTTCTTGGAACCAAACACGTCGACAGATTCAACAAGCGAGCAATTGAACCAGTTTTTGGCTCCCGCTGCTTGGGAAAAAGGCGCTGGCTTTCGTTCCCCCCTCAGGCTTGACTGAAAGGAAAGATCCCTACACCCCCTATGCCCAATTGTAGCTGATTGGATCCATGTTTCAAGCATATTCAACAAGCACCACCCCACCCCCAAAAATGATCTGCTGATGTGTTTGTTACGCGTACCTCTCAGGTGATTTCTTTGGCCTACCTCCTCTACCACCCCTTGATGGCTTTGGTTTGTTTGGCCTGTCACTCGGAAAGCGTCAAGATCACTGCAGAGACCGTCTGCCGTCCCAACAGCGCAATGTTTCCTCGAAAACATGAGCGTTTGAGGATGTTTGGGGTTCGGGGCGTTTGGGGGTCGATGGGGCGCGAGTCAATCTTCATTCCACAAAAAAACGGGTCTGCAGTGTATCCATGCACATCCATGCACCATGATTCATGTTGTTGTATGTGTTTTTTCCATAAGGTATTGATCATTGCCACATAGCCTGGACCAAACTGGGTGTGCAGGGCGCCTTTTTGATGGGTCCTTGGAAATGATGGATTCCGCCAGGTTCTCAATCCGTCAGGCAGACCCTGTTGACCAGCTGTTGGGCCAATCTTGTTTGAACAAGATTGCACGACTCATGACCATCATGATCTCCACTGGTTTCACTGATCGACACTCAAAATACAGTAAGAGGATGTAACAGGTCAAGTTTGGCAGTCTGTTTATTGAAGTCGTTCTTTTTTCGCCCTCGGAGCTTCCTTTCCCGCTGTTTCGTGACTGACTTCAACTGAGGTGTTGGTTTGTTGGTCGGTGCCATTGCTGGACTCTCGCGAGTTCTGTGAACGGCGCCCTCTTCCGCCCGCATCGACCCCGTGATACTCCCCTGCAGATTAAGGTGGAACCCCCAAACTACTGGGTTGTAGAGGAAAATCGTTTTCCACACGTAAATTTCTCAGGTTCTATGTTAGTTTGTGGGGGAGTAAATCCGTGATGGATGAAAAACGGACGAAGTTGATTGATTTGTGCGACGAATGATGTTAGTGATGTGGCTACAACAGCCAATACCAAGATGGATCAATTGAAGGAAGACACCTCATGTTGGAAATATAAGAACTGTAAGACGACAAATCGCGATGATTCTTGATCACATCTTCAGCGGGTTCACACTCACATCGTGTGGAAAAGAAAGGTGTGTGAGCATTTGGCATCGGGTGAGCACCTGGCCCAATCGATGTTTGTTACATTGACCCCATTTATGACCCTAATGTCGTATAGGTAACTATTCCATACATGGATGGTCTGGGTTTTGACAAAAAGAAGACCGAACCTCTCATGAACGGTCGCTGCTGTGTTTTCCACCACTAGAACCAGTGACTCATGAACTAGGCCCAAAGATTCTGCCCCGAGCCTGCGCACTGTCAGAACCCCACCAGCATCCAGCCACTGATGACTTTGAGGGGGTCAAGCTTGGTCAAAATCGACTCCCAATTGTCCATGTTAAGAAAGCCCCGGGAGAAAGTCCAAGCGCAACTTCTCGTGGAAATTCTTTTGGCGTTGTGGGAAGGCAAGAAGCCAATGGGTAAGTGCTAGGTACGAGTGATCTATTTTCGGAATCATCAAACTCACAAGCCTTTATGACATCAACTTGAGTTTGTTCACGCGGCCATGGCATCAGAAAGAACAACAAATATCACTACAAGCATGCAAAAAACATAGATGGCAAGGGTTCTTTGTTTGCCCCGATCTCAAACGTTGCACATGTTTTTCGTTGCTTTTTTGGATTCTTGGTCCACCGTGTACCTTTTCTATGGAAAAAAACGGTTTCACGTTGCGACACCAAATTGGCGCATGCCCTGCACAGGCACAAGTGGCTCGATTTCTGCAGCGTGAGGATGGGTTGGGGGGAAACGAGCGGACCACTCGGCGCCGCGCGGCTTCGACCACGCGCGCGCCGTGCTTCGAAACGAAGGTAGAAATGATGCACGCCCTAGTGGATTCAGTGGTTTCATGAAAGTTCTTGGAGATTGAACATGTATAAACACGCTCCCACCACAGGCAGTCACCACAGGCAGGATGGTAGCCAGGCGTTCATTGACGTTCCAAAAATGGCACACGAAAGAAGTCACTCCGTCTTCGGCTCTGCCTCCATCTCCATCAGGCCACCCAGATCAACAGCCGGGTCCTCTCAGCGCTGGCGGAGCGTGCCCTTGCGGATCCCATGGGCAAGGCGAGGAGCTCCACGAGCCGCGCTGCGCGGGACCCGCGCCGAGCCGGGCGGTGTGAGATCAATCGACTGTCGTTGAGCAGCGGCAGAGCGGCTTGCTCGCGAGCAAGCAGAGCGAGCAGAGCGAGCAACTAGAGCGATGGCAGGTTGAGAAAGGTGGAGAAAGATGAGGGAGGATGAGGGTAGAAGGTGTAGTAGATGTAGTAGAAGGAGTGTCATGAAATTGATGAAGTTGATGCGTTGGTGAGATTTGCTGAAGGTAGTTGGTGACCAGAAGGTGCTTATCGATGGAGATCATGGGAAAGGATTGGAGATCTCTGATGAGATTGAGTCAAAAACGCTTAGCCCTGTGGTCCATGCACTTGTGTGGTGAACCCATTTGAGAACATGGTATAGGTGAAGATGCCATTTAAGAACAACTTTGTGCGTGAATGATTTCAGAAACCAGCAGTAGGAGACCGTAGGTGAGGGACTTAGGATGACGAAACAGGATTCTTCACGCGGATGCGACCGTGGTAGTGGATGCCGTCCACGGATGAGATTCGCATAAAGATTTGCAACATTCTTTCCCTATGGATCCACTGCCACCGAACCTGAGGTCATTGGACCCTCCTGGCGCCTACATAAATCATCTCCAATCACCGTACCTCAGGTTCAGTATGTCCTTCTCAGGTTCGGTGGCAGATCCATAGGGTTTGAGATCCTCAGAATGTCCAATCCAAGTTGGAACAGCATTCGAGAATCGAGTGGGCCATCGGTTGTGGGCGAGTGGGCCCCTGGCGGTGCAGCATGTCACTGAACGATGGTCCACCTGAGTGACACTACTTCTTCTTCCATGCAGACGCCCACCAAGATGTGGGTCCATTTTTATTGGGGAGACACCCAAACCAGTTGGGTTTTGTCTATGTTCCTTCTTCCAGGGGGTCGAAGGACCTGCGAGCTCTCCAAAAAACACACCATGTTTCTAATATATTGCCAAACCCTTGCAGACTCCATGTTCACAGCGAGATATCCAAAGGTTGAGGCCATGCTTGGAGGTGTTTGCAAGATGGCTTGGCAGAACCATCTCCTTGGACTAAAACAATAAAGACCAATGGGGTTGCCTATTGGAGGGGGATTCCAATGCCCATGTCACTATCCACTCACTGGATGAAACTCAACAGCACTCAAAATAGGAACAGCTGTAACTGCTGAACAAAAACGGAACATCCTTTCTCAAGGTTTTTGTTGAGATCCTCTTCTTGTTGGAAAGCGGGACGAAAGAGGCAAACCACACCCCGGCACCTGGACGTTGTATGGATGTCGTGTTGGAAGACTGAACGGCTCCTTGGCGTGACGGCAACGGCCGAGGCCATCACACAACGGCACGAAACATCACACGTATTGTTGCATACAATTTAGTATACATGACATTATACATGTGTATATAGGGTACATATTAATGTTTGGATATGTTTGGACTATGTTGAATGTATCTTTGCAGCTGAAGATGGAAGGTCAAGAAGATGATCGAGCAGCTCATCACACGTTTGGAGGAGCAGGCCCGCGCTGCGTGCGAGGGCGTGCGAACATCGTTCGGTGGTGTTTTCAGTCTCCCATGACACATGGCGCCATATATAATGAGTTGGATTATATAACAGAACATAACAGAACAAATGAAGGCGGCCGTCCAAGAGGGTCCAAGATCATGAACTCGTGTTCGTTTCTCCTTTCGACCCCACGAGTCTTGTAGAAGATGCGACCCGGTCTCCGATGCGACACCGACGATGCGTTGGTCTCCGTAGGGCCAGGCGGAGACCACCAAGAAGGCGCCGGGGGGGTGCGGTGAACTGGGTCCGGTGGGGTGCCGAAGGTGGGGAGATAGGGAGGAGGGAGGTGGCCATGATATGGACATACTGTATACTGAGATATTCCACAAAAAGATGGCGACTTGGTATGAGGCCTTCCCTTCTTGCCATTGAGGAAGAGTCCAAAGATGATTTTAAGGCCTCGCCCTTGACTTAAGACCTGAAGCGTGGATGGAAAGCACTCACGCTTTGTTGGGCAAAAGTCTTCGACTCACTTCGCTGGGTTGAGTCCGCGCTGAAGCGGCCGCTTCCGTTTTTTTTAATCACATTGTACTGCTGGAGACCGATGGTTGAATTCAGGGGTCATTCATGTAGCTTGTATGGTTACCACATACTCGCTGAGGTTCTACCAGCTTGTTTTCCTTCTTCTGAGCCGATTCACTTCCATCTTTGAACCCTGAGAAGCCTTGCACCATCTTCTGCCAGCTTCTGCTTAGGCTTGGTGCGATTCCGAGATAAGCACCAACAAGCAGACGCGTGAGGAGCGCGTGCAGCATGCAGCGTGTTACACGGAGTGGTGCCCCCGGAAGGAATTTCCGGTGTTTTTCACAGCAATTCGAAAGGAACAGCATCGCCAGGCATGGTAGTTGGCTGTCAGTGTTCAACTTGAAGAGAACGTACTGCTCAAACTGCAGAGTACTCAGACAGAGCAGGTGACAGAGCAGTACTCAGACAGCCTGTTTGAGCTTCCTCCCTGAGGAAGCTGTGACTACCTAACCAGCATGACCGGTTTGTAGAGCGAGGCAAATGACACAGGGTTTGGGACCGACTCGTAGCCATATACAGGTCAGTGAACGACCTCATGTTTCGAGTTGGCCATACCAAAAACACGGCAAAACACGACGAACATGAACGTACATCGGTGTTCCTGGGTGTTCCGAACGGTCGGAAGGCGGCCGCTTCCGTCCGCACGGGTCGCGCTTCGGGTCACGCACGAACGAACGAGCCTCAGGAGAAGAGTGATGCTGTGAGTACACTCCAGGCAGAGATGGATAAGCTTCAGGCCAGGGAGTTAGCTTTTTTCTTTCTACGGCCGACATCGGATCCAAGAGTTCGACTCGTCGACGGGAAGATGTGAGAGACGGCGAGGATGTGCTGGACGTAAAGCCGAAACCCGAAACACAGAGATTGCATGGGGTCTTCGCACTTGAGCTGGTGAGAGAAAACGTGCGATGGCCGAACGGAGCGACGACGGGTCGGGTCGCGCAAGGGGCGCAGTTTGAGACCGCAAGTGAGTGTTGTATGGATTCCTATCGAAACATTGTTGAACTGAATTAGCGTGATCAACTGATTGCTGACCAGGGCATCATCATGCTGTGTAAGGACATCGATGAATGGGTAAACTGCCCTTCCCATCCTTTTTCCTTGATACAAACACTCCGAATTCACCAAGCAGAAAGAGATTTTAAAGGGGAAGATGATGAAGGTGCCGGTGCAAGTGTTCGGATGTTTTTCACATAGCAACGACTGCCAATCTGAGACCGATTGGGGCTGGAAGTTTGACCATTGACTCATTGAAGTCTTCATCTGAACATATCACTCCTGTTTTGGCACATCTTCCAGTCCAATGGATTGTGGATGGGCATTCATTCTAGTCTGCCGGGATTCAGACTTGGGGCCATGAACCTAATTCCAGCGAACTGCACCATGACAAGGCAGACAAGGCAGAAGCGATTCCAATGACCTGGACCCTCCAAAGTACCCTAGACAAGTGTGACATGCCTTATAAAGCAGGTACTTGTACTTATTTTCTAAGGTCCTTTGAGACTCCAAATACTTGCCTTTCAGCTTTCAAGTTTCTGATTTGCTTTGTTCTTGGGACAAAAAGAGAAGAACGACGCGTTTGGCATCCTGCACGAAGTTGAACGCCCCTTCTTTGGGCGGAGAACCCTTCCCGAACCTCCGCCCTTGTCACCCCTGCCACGCCGTGCAGGCGGAGCTTGAGAAGCTGGACGAGGAGGGAACCTCCCGATCCGTTGGGCTTCGGGTTGTGAGCGGATCCTTCCCGTCTCCCTTCGAGGAGGATCTACCAGAGAAGGCTCTAGCGGTGCACTGGTTTCTTCTGGTTTCGGTTTTCTCCCTTTGAGCGGATCTTGGAGGATTTGGCTACAAGACTTGGGGTCCAAGACTGGGTCGGTCTTTTTTCGCGTTGCCGTGCCACCTGCGAGTTGTTGGAGGGGATCTCGTCAAGTCGTTCGCAAGCACCCTAATTTGTGATTGTGTGTATCCCTAGGGCTCCAAGTCTGAAATAATACCATACCTCATCATACCTCCAGTTCCTCTGCCTCAAATGGTTAATTTGTGTATCCAGGGCTCCAATTATTCAATTATTGTTAATTTGTATTTGAATCCCTCACCTCAGCCTCAGACTTGTGCGTATCTTCGAAGAAAGCAGACTCTCAAACACCACAGATTGGCCTCAGATGCTAAAGGACCTCACTCCCAGATGCACCAGGTGTGAAGAGCCTTCCTACAAGTCCGATGTGCAAAGGAATGGCCTACCCAAGTACATCCAAGTACAAATCCGAGACAGATGTCATTGGGGCTTGGATTTGGGGACCAGCAGCTATAGCAACTGCTTGATGTTGAAGGGAAAGCAGGTTCAATCTCAGCCAAGAAAGGTCTCAGCTTTCACCTGGCTTAGACCTGCCACCTGGAGGTGTAGATGTTTGTTAAAAAACACAAACTATGACATGGATTTCCATCGATTTCTAATACCGCTTTCAGCTTCGCCAACCACCGTCTCCTGGTCCACCGCATCTCGCCAACCACCGTGGCCTCCAACGGCCCAAAGGAGCTCCGAGCTGCGAATCGGCGAATCGGTCGACGTGTCGTCCAAACGGTCGACGTGTCGTCGGATTTGGAATGGTTTAGTTAACCGATCCCAGACGTCCTGACGTCGTAGGGTATAAACAAAGGGTCATGGAGCAATTTCTTTGGGGACCTACCCACATATCACCATGCATATTCATGTATACCATGCATAGTACCATGCATTTATATACCCGAAAATGACTCCTCCAATCCCCGGCCTCGCCGTCTGAACGGTCCAACTCTCAAGGACACCACGGGTCTCGCCAGCGAGCTCACTGAGCTCGAGGCTGCGGTCTCCCAGGTGCGAACGGATGAGACACAGGACCAGACCGAGCCGTCCCGGGGGGGTCGCCTATGGGGTAGCCGGTAGCCTAAGCACCGGGGGTTCTGAGATGCCTCGGATATGAAGGCTTAGAGTCTTAGAGGGACGAACTGCTAAACGTTGCACCGGTGCCAGACCCCTACAGGGTGCAGCCTGTTTGGGTAGAGAGTTGGTTCATGTTTGTTCTTAAGGCGAAAGATTTAGTTGCTGGGTGTGTTTTGTAGATTTTGTACGGTTCAGATTGGTGGTGTCTCGTTGACCACCTTTCTTGGGGGATGGTTAAGCCGTTTTCATCACTTCTTCCTCGGGGAAGAATGGCTCACTTGGAATCGCGGGTGATCTCTGAAACACCTAGCCGGCTTAGAATTCTTTACTTCGAGTGACCCCTCACCATGGCATTTAAAGGCCAGGTTTTGGTTTCACTGCACTCTAGTGATGCGACTGTGGGTCCAATCTCTCCTGTACATTTATTTCTGGCATTGTCTCCGTGGCATACCTTCTGACATGATTTCTGGCATATTATTTGGCATATATGCAGTATATGCATATCTATATTGTGGCCTATGGTGACGACATGTTGTTAGCATCTATTCTATTCTGACGTTCTATTTGGCATTTATTACATTCTATTGGGCATCTATTGTGGCATTCTATTTGACATATACATATCATGATACTGCTATTGGCATTCAGTTTGTCATTCCTATCTAACTAGCAATCATTCTATCTGGCATATTTTCGGGCATATTCTTTGATATTCTATCTGATATATCTACTGACGTATATTCCGGCATTCTGTCTGACATCAGGGTGGTGGCCACTGCGATCTGCTGCTCGCGGTTCAGATCCGATATTTGATGCCCCAGTCACACCAATCTCTAAGTGACCAGACAAGCATGCACGGACTGCACTCCCCAGAGGGTCAATTGTGATGCCACCATGTTCCGGGCCAAAAAGAGTGCACGAATTTGAAGGCCACTGAGCTTCGTGCGAAAGAGAAGGAGAAGAACGAGGCATGGCGATTTCGCACCATGAAACGGCGCCGTAGACGGTGCGTGGGCCGGTGCTGGAGACGTGACGAGAGAACCTGACACCGTCGCCGGTGTCGCTCACGAATCAATGCAAATGCAAAAATGAGGGTTTTGTGATGTTTTGTGGGTTAGAGTGGCAACTTTTCCCAAAACGGTTTGTGGCCTTATTTTTTCTCGACTCTCTCATGATCGCTTGAAACGACCGAGACAAACTAATGGAAAGGTCGTTGACACTCACCCATCAGTATTGTAATGTATACATCCACCACAATCATCATAATCATCCATAATCTGATTCAGACCGACGAATTGGCACGGCTCCGCTGCCTCCTGAGGAGGTGGTTGGAGCCCAATAGGATCCATTAGGATCCTATAGGGATAGTTTTGGGTGATCCTGCAGCTGAGCAAGCAGCCGATTATGCCAATCGTTGGTGATTGAGCAGAGCCAATAAAACTGTTCAGAATAGGTTTGAACAGTTTGTCTTGACACATGCAATGGCAAAGGGGGTTATCTTGCTCTTGAAACCAATGTAAAAAAGAACAATCGGGTGGACCCTTCCGCTTTGCTTTAGACCCCTAGAATGATCTAGAATGTAAGAACTGGGATTTTTTGATGACTGAAAGATCGATCCTCTACTGGCCAGTTGTTTTTCTTGATGTTTTGTGGAAAAACTAAATGACCTTCGTTGTGTTTGCTTCCTGTGTCTGGATCCACGGTGTTCCAAACATTGCAAAACCGCATCGCCGTGTGGTGGTTTTCGATGTGAAAAATCTGGATCTTTCAACCTGGAACCCGACCAGTCCACCATGTAGCGATCGAATTCAGACGTCTTGTCGGATGATCGGGTTCATCGGAGATCGGTCGGACTCCGAGGTCACGAAGGCCACGATCCACCAGTTAGGACTCCGAAGTCACGATCCGCGATCAGGCCAACTTGAAGGAAGCCAAGGCTGGCCAGGAGGCCGTGGCCAAGGCCATCCTTGTCCTCAAGGTCGGGTGGTGGGATCCCAGCGGGGAGGATCCCACCGCGGGAGCGATGTTCTTTTTGTTTCAGAACAAGGTGTTCTCGTATTTTGTTTTTTCCATCATGATGTTTTGTGGAAAGAATTGGAGCGAAAACACAGCGTCCCTGGCTGGGAAAACACACATTTATTACTTTTGTGTCTTCTTCTTGTGGCGGTGGTCCAGTTCCATGATTCCAGGGAGTGTATGGATCTAAAAACAGTGATTTTTGTTCGACCGGGTTGGGAATCTATAGCAGGGCATGTAAGATTTGCCCACCACCGGACCGCATGCGTTAACTTTGCGAGGGAACGTAGAAAAGAAAAGAAACACACATTCCTGAAGCTTGCGCAGATCCAACATGATCCAACCATATCAAGAGACATCAAGAAACCATGGATGTTCTGCTCAGCGCCCGTTTGGGGGATGGTCAAGTACTGTACTGTATCCTTAATGTTGCAGACCAAAAGTGGCACCTGTCGTTTTTGTTTACCCAACTGATCCCTCCAATCGAAGATGAGGCAGACTGACAGTCGAGTCTCCATGTTGGCACAAAAAAAGACTGCACCAAGTTAGAAAGCTGATGGAACACAAGTTCGTGGATTCCGGGTTTGACCGTTTCCATGTTCAGAGCCGTTTGGTGAGTTTTGTTTCGTGGGGGAGTTGTTTAAGGGCTGTCAATGGTGCAATAGGCCACTAGAGGTGTGGAGTCGCAGTGTCAAACCACCACGAAGAGCGAAGAAACGATCGGTGGCTCATAAAAATTGTTATACCCTCTCGAATACCCTCCAAATATGAAGTCCGTGTTTGGCTATTGAGGACTTCATGAGTCTTTCCATGTAATTCCTATATAGGGGGGGCCATCCACGTCTCGATGGCCATCCACGCCCGTGATGTTTCGGCCCCGTCTCGATGTCATGAGATGCGTCGATGACGTGCGTCGTGCGGACGCAGTTGAGATGCGTAGCTCAGATGCTTCTCCCAGATGTCTCATCAGTGTATCGAATAAGTTCTGTATCGAATGTATATGAGAAACCCTCCTGTCGGGGTGTCTATTTATAGCCCCTTAGCTGTGATTCGGGGTGTCCATTAACCACCCCTTGGAGGGTCCTGGCATGAGAAACCATCCAGGAGTTTTTAAAAGGTTTTGCCAGTGGACTTACGTGGATCCTTGTGGTATTTCTCCATTCCTTCTCCACCTCCAGGAGTTCTACGCCAAGGCGGCCCGTGCCACGGTTCCACGGTTTTTGCCGGGCACCGGCGGGGTGGGTTCGGAGGTCTCCAGTGGGGTCTCCCTACAACCTGTACTTGGTATGATTGAGGGGCAGTGACTCCTGAAAACTAGACCCTGACAAGTGGGTCGAATGGCATTCAGAGACTGGTTTCCTCTACAAACCGGTGGTTTTCAGAGTCCATGTTCTGAGAACGTAATTCAGACCGCTTCGTGGCGAAGACCACCCGGAAAGTATTGTGCTCCCTGAGCCGGGAAAGAAGGATGCAGGGCCACGCACACGCTTTCAATAATGCAATTCAATTCGGGAAGCATCTCTAACATTATTTTTTTCATAGTTTTCTTGTTTCTCTTTCGGGAAGGCCACAGGGCTAGCACACACGATGCCAGAAATGCATTCTCACTCGAGCAGCATAACTAACATTACAAAATGTATTGCGTTCGTTTAAAGAGCCTCAAACACATTACTAGAGCAAACACGCATCCCCCCAAGCTAAAGCTTAATGAACGATCTAGCCATTGCCAGCGCTTTATGCGAACTGAAACAACGTCTCAGCACCCTCAGTGCGGGCGGATTGGGGCCACTTTGACTTTGAGGAGTTATCGACCTTAGAAACAGACATAGAAGTTGCATAGTGTTTTTCACGGACCTTCTGCAGCTGCCACTCCTGCCAATGTTTGTTCACCACGAAGCCACCGCACTGCTGCCCACCCCGATGATCGCCAGGCTTCCAAGCCCTCGTTGCTGGCTACAAGTCGGACTTCGACCTCGCGACTAAGAGACGCGCCAGAGGTCTTTGGCGATGAGGCATACCAAGGCCCATCTGGGGGGGGATTTGCTGGGCGTTGGGGCGAAGAGCGGCGAAGAGCAATGCGTTGGGTTCCAAACTCACCCATGGGGGTATATAAATATACATGACCAGTAACAGTGGATGATGAAGACATTGATGATGGTGATGATGATGGCGAGAATGCGGCTGGCGGATCGCAGACGTTTGGGCGGATATTACTTGCTTTCCAGGTGGCTGGGGAGCGGTTGTGGTCGCCATAGGGCATTCTGTCAGCTAACAACCTACGGCTTCAAACGCCCTGCATGCGGGTGGGACGCCCGGAAAGAAATCCACTGGTGGTATCTGGTGGTGAGTTTCAGTTTGGGTGCGGAACTAAACCAAAAACTGTGCTCTTCTTTAGTGCATGGTGCCGGCCAATCCAATTCTGGAACCTTAACCCGTCCCCTTTCGTTCCGGGTCCGGTCCGCGGTGCACCGAAAACGGAGTGGTTACGGCCGACGGAGTGGCGGAGTGAGGTATGAAGAACACCAAAAGCGGTGTGATCTCCATGTTGGAGGCACCGGGCGGTACGGGGGGCATGTGATCCACCCGTGCGCAACTGAAGAAATGCGTGAAGCTTCCACGGTATTTGGGCGCTCTTCAATGACGTTGAGTAGTGCTGATCCAATGATTGGGGATGAACGTGTCTAAACAGAACAAGCATATACCATAGTCACTCCAAAAAGATACAAGAAGACAGAGAGTTCAATGCAACAAAAACAGAGACTATGGTATTGACCAAACATTCTCGTCATGAAAGGGGACATGAAGGGAGCACATTGGTTGATACGAACTCACCGGTTTACATGACCTTGTTGGTTGCGCCACGTGTCCTGTGGGCACTCATTTGCCTGACCATCGTCTTTGTTGGGAATGAGATTCTCTCAAGATCTCCCATGAGCACTTAAGGCCGGAGAGCAACAAATCCCAGACACTCCATGCATATGGCACATTATGGCAGTGGTATGTTTACCTTTGTTTACTGAGTTTACTGTCCTACATTCGAAGATGTTTTTTGTCAATGTAGCTATTAGTCCGACTAGTCTCAGACGGAGTGTTTTGGAATTGCAAGGTCTTGCCCTGTTGAGACAACAGTGGATCAGGGAAGCACTCTGAGGCAAGAAGCACCGAAGCACCATCGTGACTGCACCGTGACCGTCGGCGCAGTTGAGCGGTATAGATTTGTTCGCCCAGCAAACCTCCACCTAACAACCTGGTTTTGCTTAAGGTGACTTGTCAGTTTCCCTATGGCCCTATGGGTAAATCCATGTAAATCCCCTTAATGGGAAATACATGGTTTCCCTTCCAGCTTCCTGGACAGCAAATCCAAGACAACACATAGGATGGATATATTCAAAGATATTCAAGCAAAGTTTACGCTCCCTGGCATCATGGACGTGGAGGTGTCCACCTCTTTGTGGAGTTGTCCACCTCTTTGGTCAAGAAAATGGGGCCTTAAGTGAAGATCAATCATTATAAGTCATTACATTGCTTTGATACAAGGCAGAGAGGTCTTGCACGTGCCACAACAACAACAACAACAACAACAAACAAAAAAACATCTATATAAAGAACAACTGTTCCGCAGCAGGTGCACTGCGCTAGGCCTCTTCATCCTTTTTGTTCATCCCATTTCGTTCCGGTTTCCTTTCGCAGCACCACAAGGTTCCGTGCTCCTGTCCACCACCGGTGCCTGCCCACCGGTGCCAGGTCATCGAAGGTGACTTCAGCCGCTTGGAGGCGGAGACCACCATCGGCGAGGCACGGCCTTTGCGGACGGTGAGGGCTCTGGACGTGACCTGGTCGTCGGCCAAAAACCGCCGGTGACCCGCACAGCGGACTTGCCGTGCAGACACGGAGATCGGGGACGCGATGGACGAATGGAAAACAGATCCAGGATGTCCCTGCAGTTGCAAAGAATGATCTAAACAGTGGTTCTATTTTTTTTGTTGACGGGCAGCATCCAATATTCTCCAATATGATCCAATCAGCATGGTGTCATGACTGCTGACGATTGTATTTGTTTACCTGGTCAGAACCAGAAGTGGACCAACGTTTTTCGATTACCAGTTTTGGAATGGTTTCTCATGTCCAGCACGGTGTCTGGAGTGGTTTTTGGATGGAATGGCTGTGGTCCAAACGTGGTCGCCCGGAACTCAGGTAGGTTCACTTCAGTAATTGGTTGATTCTTGGTCAACTAATAACGCCCAACGTGACATGACAAAAGGGGCATCCAGGATAGCCATCCACCCAGCGCCTCCGTAGCCCACGTGTTCGGAGAGGCCGCAGCGGCGAAAGAGCATGAGACCTTTGTGGAGGAGAGGGTTGTAACGTGCGGAAGTGTAATGCGGTTGTAACGCTGGGATGTCCCAAAGATGTTTTTGGCATGTGATGTTGGTAGTTATATTGGGTGAGGTTCAGGTAGGTGATGATATGGTTCACATCGTTTCACAGTCAATTAGTTGTTTCACCCAAGAGGAGATCTGTGTTTCGCGAAAATCCACTATAGTTCTTATGTTTTCACTGTTTTCACTATATAGCGGTTTGGGGGGAATATGTTAATGTGTTCACTATATCTTTTAGTTTCTTTTACACCGCAATTTTATCGTGTTTTCGGGACGCCCGTGGTCCCCTGTTCTGCAGTTCGGTATTGGAGCTGGTACACGAAAGAATCTATAGTTTCATTGAGTGAACACCGGTCATGGCCCGGATTTTCATCCGAGTCATCCAGGGCCATCCACGTAGACCGTTCTCGGCACATGGACGTCCGGAGCGTCAAATTCGTTCGTTCCATGTCGGAGGTACAGCAGAACTGCCACGGATGTCGCTCCTTCCAAAGACTGGTACGGATCCAAGGTACCTGGTACCGGTAAACCACCTGGTACGGTAGCTGATTGGCCTATCAGAAATCTACAGTTTTTTTTCGCATCATCACCGTGTGATTTCTCTGAAAGCGACGTGGGAGTCATGTTGTATGATATTGTACGCTATTATATATGTGTTTCTTTATGTTGTTTTCCTTCAATGTTTCTTTCTACTGGTTGGCATGTTTCCTGAAGTCTGGAGGATATTCAGACAATTCCTGTAAACCTCTCACGCCTGGGCAGACAGCTCTTGTTCAGACAGCTCTTGAACCAGCGAGCGCAGGAGTCGAAGCTCACAAAGGTTGAAAAGTCCAAGGCTGGAATACATCCAACGCGCAGGTCTCGACCACGGACCCTGCCCCAGTCAAAAATCCCAAAGAATTTGGAGACAGAATTCATGTTAATGAGCAAAGTCGAACGATAGCTTTTGAACGACGCGGGAACATGAAATGTACATGAATCCTGAGATTTGACATGATTTGACCATCTTGAAGCCGTGGCTTTGACCCTGTGCCTATTTTTGTTTAACCCCAGTGGAGAACAGGAGTCTCTCGCATGTTTTTGCATCCGTCACTTTTGTCTCTCTGGTTTCGACGGATGTCGATGGATTGGGGGCATTGTCCGTCGGTATGTCTGTCCTCTGATCAGATCCAAACATGTTCGAACTCTGACTGGTGCTTAGTAGAGAATGAGAGAATGACCCCTCACAGATACCATAGGATCGCCACCTTCATTCTTTCCTAAGCACCAGTCAGAACATGCTCCGTCTTTCGGACTGCCACCCGGCCCCGATGTCGAAGGTCCAGTGCTTGGCAGCGGCAATGCCATGCCCACCATCGATGCCATCGATTCGTTTCGGAGCGAAGCAGGAAGATGTTCGTTCTTTCACACCCTCCCCAGCAACCTTCCGGGAAGGAAGACTTACACTCCCAGTTGTCAAGGTACAGGTACAGTTGTCAGTTGGGATTGGTGAGCGGATCCGGGGTTCTTTGGTTTGGACATGCCACCATTATGCACCATTGGGGAGGATTAGGTCAATTAGTTGGTCAATGAGATCCCAGAAGTGCTTCTCTAAACAAAGGGGAAAACACTGGCCTTGTGGAGGAAGTATATCGTTTTGCAAATGTTGGTTTACTTCCACGACGATTTGTTTCAAGAGGGTAATATATTTTTTTATGGTGAAAGTTCTTTGAGCAAATCATTCCGTTTCCCTGTCAACTTGCTCGACGTAATTAAGTGTTTTGAGGCATAGAAATCCAGCACCCAGCTCCTTGCAGGAAGCAGAGCATAAGAAGTCCCGGAAGCAGGAGAAAAGCTCTGAGCTTTTGAGTCTCAAGGCACAGCCTGGGACTGGATCCGTCGGGGCAAAAATTCCGGATCTGGTCCCGACTTGGGTCCAGTACAGTGGTTGCAGAGTGGATTGCACAGACCCTTACATTGTTTTTTGAATACGGGGGTCCTTCTAAACCACCATTTGGCGATTGTGCCATCTACTCTGAAACCACTGTACATCTACTGAGCAATTGGTGGGTTGCTGATCCAGACTGGAATTGGTACCTACAATAGGGTATCAAACGGGTCAATGCATGTAACTAGGGTCTGTCCGTTCTTACCTGTAACAGTCGGTCCAGGCCGTATCAACTATTTTAGAGATGTTGGCCTGCACCTTAATCATCCTCATCATCATCATCATCATCATCCACTGTTACTGATCATGGGATATACCATCATATACCAATTACATTGGGGATCATTGGGGTCATGTTCATGGGGTACATGGGGTGGTAACTGTTCCAGTCCCATGGATGTGCCATCGTGTGTGAAGCGGGATGGTTATCTTCCAAGCTCCGTGGCGGAAGGTTTTCTCGGTGGTTGGGGGGGGGCGAATCCCCGAACGGGAAGATGTTTGTTTGGGTCCCAGTTTCAATAAGGCAAATCTCAGGTCAACTGGACAACTGGACATAGAAGTGCTTCAAACAAACGGCACGGGGAAGTCGGAAGCACGCAGCTCTTTTTACTGTACGCCTTCTGACGCGGCACCGGTCAACGATTTGACGATGTGAGGATCTCCAAGGTGTTTGTTGAGCTGAAACATCATGAAGAGATTGAATCCTGAATATGTACGTAATGGATCTTCCAACTATGCAACATTTCTGTCAAACTTGGCTGGTTTTATAGATGAGAAGACAGAATTTTTGCACTATATAGATGAGCTTCGTGGGTACAATAAACACGAATGCATCAACGCAAGTCAAGAGGGCCTCACGTGCCGAGTCTGACACAGTCAATTGGACAATATCTTTGTCAAACAAGCAACCATCCCTGGGGATTTACCTCCTCAGAAGACACTGCTATGTGGGTTTGGAGGGTCTAAGTACATTCTGAGAAGGCACTTGGATCCCTAGAGCATGGTAGAGGGCTCTCCCATTGGATTGGTCATGATTGGTCATCGGTCCATATTTTTGCTCAGTCCTTACCCTATGAAGCAGAACAATCCATCCAATCCTCCAACCTGCCAAACCCACCATTCTGGAATTCAGATTGAATTCTGGGATGTGCAAACACATCCCGAGGAGTTGGATTGATTCAATATTATCTTTACCAACATACTACCCCAATCCGAGCCATCCAAGTCAGCAGTGAAGCGCAGTACTGTGGAAGTCATCATTGGACACCTCTGGGCCGGTCCTGGTACATGAAATGGTCCTAGAAGTCGAACCATATATTTTTTTAAAAATTGCCTTTCATCCCGAAGAACCGTGGTTTTAGCATCTTACACTACAAAACCAGATCAACAGTGGGACCAAACATGGCCTTTGACATCGGTTTCCATGTGTCTTTTGGCCATCTCCGCCCGTCACACCCGTGTTCGTTGCGGTTCGCAAGCCGCGAGCCGCTCGACCCAGGCAGATCTGAGGGGCACCGAGAAGGACCGACGTTCGTCGCATCTTCGTTTCGTCACAAGAAGCTACGAAACGGGGCGCTCCTGGCATTGCTACGAACGGAACAAGAAGCTACGGCATCGCTACGAACGGAGCGATCGGACGCGAACCGAACATAGCTAATAGGGCATCGCTATAGGAACATTCGCTACCTAGGTCTAGCTTCTGAGAGGTCCAGTCATCACCGAACCCAGACGTCGTAGGTACTTTCGAGGTTAAGCCCCGTACCATCGTCGGTGACGTCGATCTCGTCGAACCTCCGGAGCCAGATCCCTCCCTCCGTCGTGAATCGGTGGACTCCGCGGAACCAGGAGCTGGAAGCTGCGGAGTCCTACTATGAGAAGCTGAAGCCTGATTGTTTGAATGCAGGGGATCTCAGAACCGAAACAGCGACCCTAAACGTTCGCGACGAAACGGCGCGATGAAGTGGTTTTTTCGCAGAAGACCAGCGATGGGGACAGAAATAAATTGATGATTACAATTCAGTTTGGCATGTCCCAGGTTTAGTTTGGCAGTGTTCCAAGGCCTTACATCAAATAAATGCGGCTTTGAGAATTTATAAGCGCTGGCATAGAGGTTGGAGGCATATGTTGTTCCTTCTATCAGGTCAGCTCCAACCGTCATGAGGTTCAGATCGAAACAACTTGCCGAAACCATGGAGCGAACGGGGTGATTTTCACCAACTTTGCGACCCGAGTAGCTACTTGCTAGTAGCGATGCCAGGAGCCCCTAGTAGCTACTGCTGTTGTTGCTGTTGCTGGTGCTGGTGCTGTTTCTGTTGTTGTTGCTGTTGCTGTTGTTGCTGTTGTTGCTGTTGTTGCTGTTGTTGCTGTTGTTGTTGTTGTTGTTGTTAGAATCCTTCCAATAGGGTCCTGCATGTCCCACTTCCATGATGGAGAACATTGATTAGAGAGTAGTCAGGGATCTCAAAAAGAATCACACAAGTGAGTCCTTTCAAAGCCCAAGAAAGAAACCAATTGAACTGACAAGACATGAAAAGACAAGTCTGTCTTAAAGTTCCCTTTTTCAAACCTGTTTTTTAATAGTTCCGCCGCCTACAGTGATGAATGGTGATGAACATCTGATGGCGAATTGGGCTTTGACCTGGCCGACTCCCTAAATCATGCTTCATCTGTCAGCAAGTCAAGCTTGGGCAACCACACACGCGCAGAAAAACGAACGGCCAAGCCCACGAACGACTGTCACCTCGGTAGGTCAACCGGTCGGTCTCGGACCGCCACTGGCCACCCTTTTCATCGCAGACGAACTCCGTCGATGACTTCGAAGTCAGAAGTCTCATCAACGTTCTGAAAGCATTTATGGTTGAAGACAGCCTGCTGCCTATATTTATGCGGAATATTTGCATGCAGGATTAATTTTGGAATCAAAGGCTACTCCCAGTTCACTGCTTTTTTTTCCAAATATTTAAACACATCGTCACATCGCCATGCCACATTGCTTGATCAGTTGGATGTGTGTTTCTTCAGAAAAAAACGTGAATCCAAGTGGTAAATCATCACTTGGGACTGGAAGCTTCGGCAAAACATGGCGATATATCGTTTCAGCTGCCCACACAGCACGGTGCACGGTTTGCAGCTTCCAGCCGTTCCGTTCCGTTCGACGGCACTGCTTCAACGGCGCCCCACAGATCCTCCGGATTGGTCGGGAACGGCCGCTCTTCGAGTTGCTCAGGTGCTTTGAAGCACGTGTTCCATCGTGTTCCCATGTTTGGCGTGTTGGTGAAATCCCAACCTCTCCGCGCATGGCAGCAAGCTGATCGCTCCGCACAACTTAGAGCTGATAGCTGACCCAGACGTCCTGACCGAATCTGTGGACGTCAGTGACGGCGGGTGACGTCCATGTCCAGTCGACACGGTTTGCGTGTCGATGGTCAAAGGGATCGGATCGTTGAGCCTCCGAGCCAATACTCCGAGCCATGCTGAGCCGTGCCATGACTTGCAACATCGCAACATGCATGTTAACATGCAACTTGAATGCACCCATGCACAACGTTCATGCATGAATGAATGAATGAATGAATGAATGAATGAATGAATGCATGCAATGATGAAATGAATGACATGACATGACATGACATGACATGACATGACATGACATGACAT